GGCCCGAAATGTCGACTCTCCTGCTCCTCTGATGCTGCCTGACCTGCTGTGTTCCTCCAGCTCCACACTGTATTGACTCTGACTCCAGCATCTGCAGTTCTTGCTATCCGAAGAGATTGTTGTGTTCATTAGTTCACGTGTACTGTGCAGGAGACACCACAGTTTCTGTGGTAGAGAATTCCAAGGCTCACAAGCGTCTTAGGAGAAACATTTTCCTCAGTGGCATCTCCCTTTTTTTTTAAATTATCCTACACTTCCCAACCAGGAGAAACACATAGCTGCATCTACCCTCTTTATTTCTTTATGCATTTTGATGGAGATCACCTCTCATTCTTCGAAACTCTAGAGAATACAGCACCAATCTCTCTTCATAGAACAGTCTTGTCTTCCCAGGAATAAGCCTGGGGAACCTTCATTGCATTTCCTCTTTGGCAATAATACCTTTCCTGTGAAAAGGAGACCAACACTTCAGATTTAGTCATAGAATCCCCACAACGTGGAAGCAAGTCATTCAGCACATTGAGTCCACATGGACCGTCCGAAGAGCATCCTACATGGCCACACCCTATCCCTACATTTCCCATGGCTAATCCACATGGCCTGAACCCTATTGGCAATTTAACATGGCCAATCCACCTAACCTGCACATCTTTGGATTGTGGGAGTGAAACCAGAGGAAAGCCTTGCAGACACGGGGAGAATGTGCAAACTCCACACAGACAGTCGCCCAAGGCTGGAATTGAACCCAGGTCCCTGATGCTGTAAGGCAGCAGCGCTAAGCACTGAGTCACCATACCCACAACCAAGCGCATGTACAACAGAAGCAAGACTTCAGCATTCCTGTCCTCAAATCCTCTCTCAGTAAAGACTAACATTCCATTAGCCTTCCTTGCTGTGCCTGCATGTTAGTCTTTAGTGACTTATCAAGAAGGATACCTTTAGTACATCACTGGGCACACATTTTGGTGTTCTGCTACTAGTTTAACATCAGTATTAGTCCATTGAACTTAAAGACAACTAATGGTCAATCGAATTATAATGGAATCAGCTTATTCAGAGATGTCATGGCACACGTCTGAAGCAGGAGAGGCTTGAACTAAGGCCTTATAGCCCAGAGGTAGGGACACTACCACTGAGCCACAAGAACCCTAACAACTGAATTGTATTTGGATACTGTACATTACATGTGCTTGCAGGATTTCAATGGGTTTAACTGCATTGAAATGTTCTTCTTTATTTTAAATATCACGCCTTAAATGGAAACTCTTCAGATGATGCTTCATAATGTAAGAGTTCCCCAGCGCATTTATCATTAAGTTAGGATATTTAGAGGCAATTACTCCAGACTGAAGCCCTTTGATGTGCAGTGGGTACCTTGATACAGAAGTTTAAGTAGTTTCTGACAGAATCTGTGAAGAGCTGGTGCTTTCACTTATATTCTGCGTGTTGCTAAATCCTGTTTTATCATCAAACATCTATAGCATTATATCTCTCCACAGAGGGCAGTCTTGTTCCTTGCTGATAGCAGCAAGTGTCAAATGTCATTGCACAGATCATTACTATTTACCTCGTCTACGTCCGTCAGAGCTGCACATAAAAGGTCTGCTAAAATGCCAACGTGGGTCTTGAACACACAACTTCCCTGATGCCTAGTGAGGCCAAACTAGTTGCTTACCATTCGACAGCGCAGGCTCTGCGATCCTAAACTTAACCAAGGCCGAGCTGAAAGGAATTGTTAACTTCTTTTTCCTGTTTGCTTTCAATCAAACAGATTTGGTTCCAAAATCGCCGAGCAAAATGGAGGAAGTATGAGAAACTGGGGAATTTTGGTGGATTGCAACACCTCACTGAGGTTGATGTGGTTCCTGCTCCCAAGTCTCAAACCGAGGTAAGTGTGTCCAACTGGAGGAATTGTTTGACAAAAAAGGGCTAAGGTTCATCTAGTTGACCAGCTGGCACCTGGAAGTTGCTTGATACAACAAAAATGGTGCATTTAACTAATCTCAAACAACTTCCAGGCAATAAATGCTGCCTGGCCAGTGATGCCCTCATCCTGTGAATGAAGAAAGAATATGCTGAGATGTAATATTTAAGATTAGTTGGTCTACAACAGAGCCTAAGTATGAGGCATGAGGAAAGCCCACAATAGTGAAGGCAAACAGGGGTTCAAAGTCACTTGATCCTCCTGGGACACCACATTTAACATCTCAAATATTACATCCCAGCATATTCTTTCTTCATTCAAAAGATGAGGGCATCACTGGCCAGGCAGCATTTATTGCCCATCCCTAATGTTAAGAATTAACCACATTGCTGTGGGTCTGGAGTCATATGTAGGTAAGGAGGGCAAGTTCCTTCCCTAAAGGACATTAGTGAACCAGATGGGTTTTTCCTAACAATCAGCAATGGATTCATGGGCATCTTAATTCTAGATATTCATTGAATTCAAATTCCAGTATCGGCTGTAGTGGGATTTGAACCCAGGTCCCCAGAACATTATCTGGGTCTCTGGATTGACAGTCCAGCGATAATAAGGCCAGGCCATCACCTCCCCATTCTGAAAGAAATCTATCCAAGTTGTACATTAATGAATTAACACTGACCATTTCCAGAATCTCCTTAGACTGTCTGTTCCACTGTTTGTCCACTCACTCATTGAAATATTGAGCAGGGCTTTCTTGTTGCCTTAGCCTGTGGTATTAGAGTTTCCGAGCCCGTACTTGTTGAAATCGTGGCCTGGGAGAGGCAATCCCCCAAAGATGGGACCTAAACTTTCCTCCTCTGCACTCACTGACCGATTAAACATGGCAAGTAGGATCAATGCTTAGTTAGGCCAAAGACACGGTTGATCTTTGAGAGGGATGGAAATCGGATACCTCAGAGTAGAAGCAATCTGAGAGACCCAAGACTGAACGTTAAACACACGATGCAGGAAGCATGGGCTTTGAATGAGTTCATGGCCGTAAAGGACAGGATATGGAATGCATCAATCCTAAGGCAAGCAGTGTGTCTATTGGCTGAGGGTAAATGTCGCGAACAACCGATTTTAAATAAAGGATCCCCCCACAATAAAAATAAGCTGTGGGCAGCTTACGTGGCAATAGGGTGGGACTTCTGCCCCTTCATGGCAGGGAATACCACCCTCAAGAGCTGCCAGCCAATATGATTGGCTACCAGTTCTTACTGTCCCAGCACTGGCAGATCTCAGGAGATGTGGGAGCAGGGAGGGGGAGGGAGGGGATGGTGTGGGGGTGGGGGGGGGGGGACGGGGGGGTGGGGGGGGGGGGGCACTGCTGATTCTGCAGGGGGGGGGAGGGTGGAGACCAGGGGCGGGTCCCGATTGCAGACAAGTCTGGGATTTTTGGGCAGGAACAGACACTGTGGGCTCAGGAAGGGCAAGGTGGGGGGTGAGGGGGGAGGCACGGTGAGGATTTTGGAAGGCAAGCAGACATGCGAAAAATGGAGGAGTGTTCTCTTGTGTGGGTGTCTCACCCCAGTGCAGACTGCCCACCCCCTCGCCCCACCAAAGGATATACATACACCTTCCTTCTCCCCCTCCTTTTTCACCTCGGATGGTGGCTAAGCAGACTCACTACTTTTAGCTTGCCTGCTCACACCAACCGTACAATGGTGTCATAGCAGAACAATCGGATCACTTGGTTGGTTAACTAGTTCAGTTGCCAGCAAAATGGCATTTTTCTTCAAATGAGGCAGACTGTCCTTCTAGGCGTGATGGGCAAGGGCCATGTTGGCACCCAGTTCATGATGTGATGTAATCACATTGGGTTTCACACGTGGATTTTAGAGGAGGAGCCCCACCTTTCACCTTAAAATCCTCGCCTGCTCATCCTCACAGTCTGAGTGTGGCCATTTGTTGAGTCTTCAGTTGACTGCTAGTTGCATTCTTCATAACTCTACAACCTTTCACACCTGAGGAGAGAACCTGACTTGCATCATTTAAGTATTTTCCCCACATCTTTAAAATGGGCGTTAATTTATATTTTAGATTTGTCGTTGTTAAGAAGTTTCAATAATAAGTTATGTTCTTTTTTTGCTCGTGCTTATCTTTCTTTGCAGACTTCAAATGCAACGACAAATAAAGTATTGAAGGCCCCGTTGTTATCAAGCTATTACCCCCGCATTCCAGAGTCTTGGACATCAATGTTTGCCCCATACTCCTCAGCATTGGCACCGCTGCCCACTGTGGATCCCATCGCCATGTCAAAGCTCCAGCCTCATTTCTTATGGGTTCCACCATATCATGTGCCCATCTCTACAGGGCTGCAGTGGGACATGATGTGCATGGACCTCAGAAGAAACAATTCGAACTAACGCTGACCACTAACGCCTAGAACCAGTACCCAGTGAATCCAGAGGCCTGACAAATTGCAGGAAGGCTCCCGGACACTCACCTTGAAGTAACTTGAAGCATTCTACATTGTACATATGTTTGTCTAAAGACTATAATCGAGTAATGGCAGAAAGGTGAGGGTATTCCAAGCATCACCCTGAGAACTGTGATGAAGCCATTCTCACTAGACTAGTGGTGCAGAGGCTCTCAGGATCTGTGATTAGCTCAGGATAAGACCTGTGGGGACCTTGATGTGAATTAGACAGAAGGTCCTGGCCAAGTCTTTTCCTAACCTGAATAAAACAGACCTTTCTCTTTCTTTAACTGTGCTTACATATGGTGCCCTCTTATTCCCCATCAGACTGTATGAATACTCTGCTGTCTCTCTAACCGCTTGAACAGGCGTAGCTTTTGAACAACAGTTTTTATTTCTCAAATGTGCAAGGCTGGTCGTTCCAGACCCTTCTCCGTGGAAGAAGAACCTCATCCAATTACTCGGCCTGTCTGAGCTGGAGTCTGACCCAAGTGCCAGGGAAAAGGCATGTTGGAACAAGACACAGTCCTGTTCACGTTCCTGTGCTGCTAAGATCACTTGAGAACTCTTCATAGTCACAAATGGGTTTGAGACATGCGAAAATAGGGCAACAGGCTGAGAATAGATCATTTTTGATGTAAACTTGCAATATTGCTTGGTGTACCACAGGTTATGAGTGTGTGATGAAGGGGCTTGTGGCTGGAGGCTACAATGAGTTTCGATAGTTTATGGATTGTGGAGGAAGCAAGGTAAAGAGGCTGAATGTGTCTGACTATTACCTATGAGTATGCATGGAAGGTTACCAGTGTGTATGTACATTGCTTTGAACTCGCTGCTTAGCCCCACCCATTGTTAATGCTATCTGTGTTGATAATGTTAATCTGTCTGTTGTATTTGATTAAATCTGTTAGATCAGAACTGAAATGGAGCTGTTGCATTTAAGATGCAAGTTCTTATTAACTGGGTTTGGCCTGCAGAGGGTGAACTTACCTTGAGCAAAAATGGCATGGATCCGAAAAGGATGGAAGGAACAAAAACAGAAATCGCTGGAGAAACTCAGCAGGTCTGGCAGCATCTGTGGAGAGAAAGCAGAGTTAATGTTTTGCGTCCAATGCCCCTTCTTCAGAACAGGAGTCCTTCAGAAGGAGACTGTTTCAAACTCGTATTTTTCTTTCCATGAGGCACACTGTCCAATTGTAACAGTTCTGTTGTTACTGTAGCTGAATCTAACCCAGTATAGACCATGTGCAGATATTCTGTGATACATAAAAATACCTACAATGTTTGTTAGAGATGAAAATATAATGGCAGTGCAGCTAACAAACCTACTGACATTTTGTCCATGACTGTAGGACACTGAAAATCATTGAGTCTTTAATGTACAATACAGAAGTACTTTAACGGCATTCCTAACTTCAAGCAATTACTCAAAATTTCAAATGTCAGACAGCTGGTCTAATCTACACAACTGACAGTCTTAATGATTTGACTCTGTCATGTTGAATGTCAAAAGCAAAGAAATTCTTTCAAGTTGCTCTTATTTCCCAGTCACGAAATGGCATGTAATCTTGATCGGGTCACAGACTGACCAGTGACATCAGGAACTTTACATAGACAACACAGGACAGGCTGAGTGTAATGGGGAAATGAATGCATGAATGATAGTGATGCTGCTTTGATATCAGCAGATACAAGTAATTGAACTCATAGATGAGAAGGATGGAGGCTGGGTACTAAGGAGCTATAATTAGTATAATGTACATTAGAATGTTAATAAAGAGTTCATAAGCTAATTGAGAGTGAGGAAGAGTTACTCTTCCAAAAGGATAGAACAGAGCCACCTCAAAGATTACAGTATAAATACCTAATGTTCAAGAGAATTCATGGTAGATAGAACACATGAGGGGACAACAATTTAGGCTTAAGCCTAAGGGAAAAGCACAATCCATAGGTCTAGCTGATAAAGCACATTAGCATCACTATTCATTTAAATAATTGTTCTGAGTCCCGTTGCTGGCAAGATCTAGAGTGATCCAACAGTGACAACTGCTTGATTTACCTTCAATTTTTATCTTCCTTTTTTATTGACTTGGAGCTCACTGAGCATATGCACACAAGGCCACCATTGCACTTTTCACAAAAGAGGATGAAAATTTATAAAAATAAGAATAAAATGTTACACTATACAAAAATTACTTGAAACAATCTTATTCAACATACCCAAAGAAAGTTTCAATCCTTTTTAACCCCAACAACAACCTTACAGACATATCAACATCAGCGAGGGATCATCCCTGACTCCATGCTAAAGTTCCTTGGTCAGCTGGCATAGCTGTAATTGGCTTCTTTTATGGTGAATTTCAGCATTCACACAATGTCATTTTCTTTAGTTAATCTCACTGTCTGAGACCTTTATGTAAGCTGCTAACTCAGCTCACTTACCACAAGACATTGGCTCTTTAAACCTATGTTTCAAATCTTGTGGGACATCTTCTCTCTTTGACACTTCCACGGCTTTCTGTTTCTACAGTTTTCTTCTAAGCAACTCAGGACACTTTTCTCCTCAGACCTGACTGTTTTGGAGACTAATAGCTGTGTCTCTGCTCTTAAGGACCTCTTTTCTCTGACTGAACTCAGCTTTTGTCTGAATGAACAGCCTTCTGAGCTCCTTTTCTGTTCCCTCTCTTTCTTTCTGGAAATAGCACCATCTGCAAGTCCCCCTCCTTCTTGATCTGGAAGTATATCGCTGTTCCTTCACTGTCACTGGGTCAAAATCCTGGAATTCTCTCCCTAAGGGTATTGTAGGTCAACTCATAGCTGGTGGACTGCAGCGGTTCAAGAAGGCAGCTCACCACCACCTTCTCAAGGGGCAACTAGGGACGGGCAATAAATGCTGGCCAGCCAGCGACACCCACATCCCACAAATGAATTAAAAAACCCTGAAATCAGCAAAACCTGAGCAATTATTTGTCCGAGCAGCTTGCTAATTATTTAACTAAAGTCACAAGATACATCTTGGAAATACTGCCTTCAGCTTATTGTTGAAAAAAATGTGATTTTCTGACCTCATAAGACTAGATCAGACTTTCACAGATCTGAAAGCTGAAACCTGTTTTTGTTCCACTTTATAATCCCTACAGTGTGGGGGCAGGCCCTTTACCCTATCAAGTCCACACTGACGCTACATAGGGCACCCCACCCAGACCTACCCCTGCATTTCCCATGGTTAATCCACCTAACCTGCACATCTTTGGACTGCAACAGGATCTTAGAATACCCAAAGGAAACCCCACACAGACACAGGGTGAACAGTTAAAACCACACAGGCATTTGCCTAAGGCTAGGAATTGAACTCAGGTCCCTGGTGCTGTGAGGCAGCAGTGCTAACCACTGAGCCACCACACTGCTCCCTAGAGCCTAAGCTCCTAAACAAGAATATATTCTGAACATCAGAGTTTGGAGTGTGTACTTTTTCTCAAAGCAGAGCGTATGTGTGGAATGGTCCTTGACTCCTGGCAATAGACATTAGGAAACGCAGTCTTTTTTTTCAGGTTTGAGGGAATGAGTAATTGTTAACAGGATCAGAGCATTGAAGGATGGTTTGTATTTTTTCAGAGCACTAAGGAATTTCTGCTTCTGTCTCCCTACTCTCCGTCTCTAGATCACTAGCTAAATGTTCAAGGCAGAGACAAAGGATCTCTTTCTTTCCCTCAGGACCAATGCTATAATAAAGACACAGCATCTTATTTCATTTGAAGCTTCTCATTCTCTTTCGTGCTGTATACCAGATACAGCGCCTTTCACTGCATTCAGAAGCAATCAGTCTACATTTTAAGCCTTTGTACTCATGTCACCTGTTTGATCTCTGACCATGAAGCAGGTAGTTATTACATATTAGAACATGCTGTTAGACTCAGTCTGCAATCAAAGTTCAGTGATCACCATCTTAATTCTGTTACCTAGCTGTATAATTATAAACATCTGAAGCTGTTTCAGTTCAAGAAATTTATTTCCCTGTTTAACAAACAGATTGCTTGTTTGCCAGATTTCTGAAAGGTTAGGAATATGCAGGCACACACTGCTGCAGTGAAGTTGAGACTTAATTAATTTGATGGGGAAGATTAGGGGTGAGGGTAGGAAGTAAGAGGTCTCTGGTCACACTATCAACAGTCATCATGCCTTCATTGCTCAGTCCTTTGAGTATAGGAGTTGGGAAGTCATGTTGAGGTCATACAGGACATTGGTGAGGCCTGTTCTGGAGAGCTGTGTCAGTTCTGGTCACCCAGTTATAGGAAGGATATTATTAAACTGGAGACGGTTCAGAAGAGGGGAGATAGTAGGAACTGCAGATGCTGGCGAATC